ATGTAAGCCACACATATTTAAAATTTTCTTTTAGGTACATTAAAAAGGTAAAAATAAGCAGGCAAAACTAATTTTAACAATATATATTGTTTAATCCAATATATCCAAAATATCATTCAACATGTAATCAATATAAAAACTATTAAGATACTTTACATTCTTTATTTCATACCATGTGTACATTTTGCACTTAGAGCACATCTCGGTTTAGGCTAGCCACATTTCGAGTGCTCAGTAACCCTATGTGGCTAGTGGCTATGGCGTTAGATAGCACAGATTTAACGATTGAGCTCTTTCAAGTGGCTCAGCTCTAGACCGTATTTTATTCAACATTCAAGTAGTCTTCTGTTTACTCAATATGATTTGAGGTGGGAATTCTGAATTAGAAGATGTTAGGGACTGAATGTGTCTTTCCGAAATTCATATGCTGGAAACTTAACACCCAATATCATATTAGGAGGTGGGGCCTTTGAAAGATAATTAGGTTTAGATGATATCATGAGGGTGGAGCCCTCATATGGGATTAATGTCCTTATAAGAAGAGGAAGAGACTAAAGCTTGCTCTCCCTCTCTGCCACGTAATAGCACAGCAAGAAGGTGCCCATCTACAAGCCAGGAAGAGGGCCCTCACCAGGAGCTGAGTTGGCTGTCACCCAGATGGTGTGTGAGACTGCCCAGTCTCCAGCAGTGTAAGAAATAAATTCTGTTGTTTAAACCACCCAGTCACTAAGACAGAGGGAAAGATGGTAGAGAGGTAATATAATAATACCGACAGAGGTAATATAATAATACTATTTAGTGAAAAAGAAAGAGATGTATGAAAAGGAAATAAGAGAGCAAAGAGGAATGGAGATGCTTAAGGGAGCATAAAATGTAACATAGAAAAGGTAACATTTGAGTTGGGACTTGAAGGATGAGTAAAAGTTTGACAGAGAAAGAAGTGAGAAAATAATACTGCAGTCAAAACAAACAAAAACACTGAGTACCTGGTTAAAATGTTGCTGAGCAACAACAAAGTGTTATGATGACCATCAGCATGGTTTTTCTGTTTTCTGTAGTTCTACTTAACACTAACTATTAGTAACACAAGCATTTTTGAACAAGGATTGGCTAAGTTAGCTCACAGGAAAATGCAAAGGGAAAGAGTACTAAAGATACCAGTGTGAATATGCTTGTGATTTTTGATTATTGGTTCCCAGGTTAATGGAGAAAAGAAATAGAGACAGGTTGGAATTGGGAATGATAAGCTGAGAGAATAAGACGATGAGAAGCCCGCAAGTCATCGTAAACAGGACAAAAGCTGTAGTAGCAGGGACAGTATAGAACTTAAGAGGTGGGAGGGAGAATGTTATGGCCAAAGGGTAGGAATTTGGAGGTAGAGCAATTCTCCTTGGTAAGGCCCGGGAAATGTCTGTTTGAAAGAGTTGTTAAAGTCAGAGGAGCAGAGTTGGTTAAAGAAGTTTGTGGGCAGAGTGTTAGATAAGTCAAATTAAAATGAAGATTACGGGCCAAAGCGCAAATCTTCAAAGGTTAAAGAGGAGCTCTGAGGATGATGACAATAATAGTGGAATTTGATATAAATGAACATCATACATCTCAAAGGTTACGAGGGAAGCCTGTGTATCAATGGTCTGGAAGCAGCAGTGAGAATCTGGGAGAAGTTTAGTGCCAACATCTCAAGATGCCGTGAATGAGAGTGATTGTGTGTCTTTGGCCTTAATACTTTGCCAGGGATAAGATGTCCTCAGGGAAAAAAGCAGCAGCCTTGTGCAAAATAGTGGTTCTCAAACTTTGACCATATCCCAGAAAGACTGGGAAGAGCTGACTAAAAGCACTCAGGGGTGGTTATGGTGTGGAAATTCTAATGTACGTCAACATGCGAGAGCTATTGTTATAGAGACAACCTGGGTTTAATTCACTTCTTTCACTTACTGTGTGAAATTGAACAATCTATTTAACTCTTGCCCTCAGTTTCTTCATCAAAAATGTAGCCATAAAAATACATATAATACTTTTTGGGATCATAATGAAGTAAACGTGAACTGAGAACATGCCAGGCTATACTGTGCTATGAAAAGTACAGGCTGGTGGTCATGGACCACAATGAACTGGCAGAAGATAGCTGCCCTCTTTGAGTAAGCATGCAACTATTGGGCTTCCCTAGTCATGGGCAGGGTTGAAGCTGAAGGGCAGAAAATGAATGCATGTTGCTATGGTAACTGCACACTAGCTCTCTCAGCCTCCACACAAGAGCTGATTTTCCTGCACACTATTTGCAGTCTGTACAAAGGTCTTTGTTTAATTACTGAGAGGCTGGTAGTGTAACTGCTGATGTATATGAACCATTATCTGAGGTGACCCCAGCAGAAAGGCCCTGAAGAAACTTGGAGTGCACAGTGCAAACTTTTCTCTTGCCTAACTCAAATCAGAACAGCATTACTCCATAGAGAAAAAGGGGAGCTCCAGGCAGATGTTTATACTGAAGTTGAGTTAACTCATATTTCAACCTCAGAGCACTGTTATCAAACTAATAAATGCAGCAAGAGGATGTACAACTTCAGTAAATGTTTTTCTCTGAATTATATCTGCGCTAAAGAAAATTTTAAAAAATATTTATAGAAAGACAAGTGTACCAATGTTTAAGAGTTTAGAAATGCATGCTACTCAATTCTCATTTTTTTAAATTAAGGATATTATGGGGGTACAATCATTTTTGTTACATATAATGCATTTACACTGCCCAAGCCAGTGCTACGAGGATGTCCCTCCCCCATACAGTGCATTCCACTTCCATTAGTTGTGGGTTTACCCCCCACCACCCCACCCCTGACTGGCATCCTATGAGTGTTACTACCGTGTGAACATCTTAGTGTTGGTCAGTTGATACCAATTTGATGGCTAGTAAATGTGGTGCATGTTTTTCCCTCCTTGTGATACCTCACTTCGTAGGATGGGCTCAGTCTCTATCCAGGATAATATAAGAAGTGCTGATCACCCTTGTTTTTTGTAGTTGAGTAATATTCTATGGTATACATATACCACATTTTATTAATTCACTCATGGCGCTTGGGTTGTTTCCACATCTTTGCAGTTGTGAATTGTGCTGCCATAAACATTCAAGTGTAGATGGCTTTAGTACAGAATGTCTTGTTTTCCTTTGGATAAATGCCTAGTAGTGGGGTTGTTGGATCAAATGGTCTTTCTATTTTTAGCTTTTTGAGGTATCTCCAAATTCTTTTCCACAGAGGTTGCACTAATTTGCAGTCCCATCAGCAGTGTAAGAGT